TCAGTCAGCGCTGAAGATGTTACCACATCTAAAATGGATTGCATTGGATTGGCGCACTGGTAGGATCCGCTCTGATAACAACGCTATTCAAGCAGCAGATAAACTGTAGGAGGACAAGAAGAACAAGAAGCTCTAACCTGTTGTAACAGTTTTACTTCATAGATATACCTCACATTCCTTTTGATATACCCCACACACACATATATACAGTACATACTTTTCCACTTTTATCAATCCACAAAGCCCACTCTCCTCTGCTCTGCTTCAGTCAGCGCTGAAGATGTTACCTCATCTAAAGTGGATTGCATTGGATTGGCGCACTGATAGGATCCGCTCTGATAACAACGCTATTCAAGCAGCAGATGGACCGTAGGAGGACAAGAAGAACAAGAAGCTCTAACCTGTTGTAACAGTTTTACTTCATAGATATACCTCACATTCCTTTCAATATACCCCACACACACATATATACAGTATATACTTTTCCACTTTTATCAATCCACAAAGCCCACTCTCCTCTGTTCTGCTTCAGTCAGCGCTGACAGTGTTACCTCATCTAAAGTGGATTGAATTGGATTGGATAGGATTGGATTGGGTTGATGACACAATCGCTTTTGAACACGTCTAAATGCCTAGGTACAGTACCAAGATAGATCCTCTCACAGCTGGATAGCGGTCAAAGTTGTTCAAGCCAACGAGCTTGCACTTCCCCTGCTCTGCTCTGCGATGAAGCTGTGGTAAACCTTCCAGTCAGCAGCGCTGAAAGTGGAATTCTCATCTAAATTGGATTGGGTTGATGACAAGATCGCTTTTGAACATGTTGAATTGCCTATGTACAGTACGAAAGAGTCTCATGGCTGGATAGAGGTTGTCAAGTATGGCGGAGATTCTTTTTCCGTCAAAATTGTTAGACCTTGTCCCTGCTTCTAAGAATTCTAATTTTTGTCACGTGCAGCAAAGGGTGAAGAACGCGTGTTGGTGTGCTGCTTGAAAAGTGTTGGTCTCTGTGCCTCAGGTGCAGTGCGGTCTGACCATTTGAAAGATCTACAGTGCATCTCTATAAGGGTCCCTTCTCACCCATCTCGCTCATATCCTTGCGCTCTCTCTCTCTCTCTCTTTCTCTTCTTTCGGATTCGCATTATACCTCGACGCTGCTCAAAGCATCCCCCTTACATAGACGACTTTTCCGGCCCTTGCTTCCCCCCTTTCTTTTTTTTAATCTCCTTTGTTGAAACACAATCTGCAACTTTGCGAAGACCGCCATTCCACATCTGCAGCTGCTGCACATCGACAAGTGTGGGTGTGTTCATCGTGGATAGTAGAGCTGCTGTCAAATCCCACCTCTCCAAATGTCCCCTGCCGTCACGCGGGCTACAACTGCTGCAAGTTCTGCAGGTTTTCTTCTTTCTTCACCCACCGACTTACCACCACAACCATCGTCTCCATTCCAAGCTCAAGACGACCTACGTGCTTCCACACCTTCTGTCGTCCGCGAATTATTTGTGCCCAGGAGGAAGCCGACTAAGCCGGCTCCGTATACATACTTGGCTGCTGAGGCGAGTGCTAGTGTGGATTCACTACCGAACTTGGTCGAGGTTAAAAGGACGCACAATTCGATCGTTGCAAACGGAGAAGGGAGCTTGTCAATTCCGACCAGACCTGCTTCGGCGCTCGATAGTACGGCGCTGCATTCCTCGCCGTTCTCGGTACAGCAGACGAAGGCAAATCGTCAGGTGCCATTGGGAGTAGTACCTCCTCAGCGTTCGGTTCGTACCACTCGGTCCACTTCAAGGACTTTGGCTCATCTTGAGCCTACTACGAGTGCACCGACTTCTGCTGCAACTACACCGCTGCTCAAGACCACATCTGCATTCGTCACTGCTTCTCAAGAACAACCACAGCTTCAAGCAAGACCTCGATCACATACACCGACGACCATGGCAGCCCGCACAATACCCTCACCAAGTGCGGCGGCGGCTCCGGGAACGCCCAAGATCAAAGCGGCTGTCTCGGCTGAAGTGGCTGCCCGCATTCGGTCGCCGAAAAAGCATGCTTCTACCTCGGCGTTGAGGGCTACTGCCAACAGCGCTGCGGCGTCTCAGGAGCAGCGAGTGAGAACTGGTCATCCCCTGCAGCAGTCGAGTAAGGACGTGGAGGCTTACGCACATTCGTCTTCCACCTGGCAGCATGATGGCGAAGGTGCACTAGACGGGGATGCAACAGGCGATAGTTCTTTTGTCTACGACGCAGATGCCGACCCATCTTCCGAGGAGAGCGGTGGTCACGATACGGTGCAGGTCCATGTTCGACTGCGACCCCCGAAACGAGGCGAAGAATGCGCCTGGGTAGCCAACCCATATTCAGGCACCGTGGCACTGGAAGCTAGCATCGCCTCCACTCGCACACAGAGCGCCAACCTCGGCCCTTTTACCTTTGACGGCATTCAGACAGGATCCGCCAATCGACCCGTCTACATCTCTGTCGCCCGACCCCTTATTCGTGCCGCACTGGACGGCTACGACGCAGTCGTATTTGCCTATGGCCAAACTGCCTCTGGTAAAACTTTCACGCTGTCCGGTGACGAAAAAGGTCAAGAGGCGGGTATCATCCCCCGTGCGGTACGCGACATCTTTCGAGGTATCAAACAGTCTTCTGCCCGTCGCGAGTACCTTTTGCGCGCCAGCTACCTGGAAATCTGGAACGAGGTGGTGAAAGACCTCCTCGAGCCTAGCAACGTTCCTCAAGTTCGTGATGATAAACGCAAACGAGGAGGCAAAGGGACAACCGTCCAACCGCTCCGCGAGGAGATCGTGACGAGCCCCGCTCAAGTTCGAGAGTTGTTGAACCGCGGACAGACCAACCGACACGTTGGCGCCACAGACTGGAACGAGAGAAGCAGTCGTAGTCATACCTGCTTCAAGATCACCATCGAGTCTTGGGAGCGCGATGCCGAGGGAATACACGGTGGAAGATCGGGGAAAAAGGTTACTGTTTCCGAGCTTTGTCTGATCGATCTGGCGGGATCCGAGAAATACGTCTCGCAGGGTAGCGATAGACGTGCAGAAGGAGCGCACATCAACAAGTCGTTATTGACGCTGGGCAAGGTGATCTATGCACTTTCGGAGAAGTCCTCCGCGGCCGGGCATATTCCGTATAGGGACTCGAAGCTCACCAGGATTTTGCAGAATTCGCTGAGCGGTAATGCTCGGGTGGCGGTGGTGTGCACGATCAATCCGAATCCTAGTGCGGTGGACGAGTCGTTGTCGACGCTCAACTTTGCTAAGCGGATCAAGAAGGTCGGTCTCAACGCGAGGCGTAATGAGATCGATGGTAATACGGGTGGATTGGGAGCCGAAGCGCAGGCTTTGATCCTGCGATATCAGACCGAGGCAGAAGCGCTGAGGAGGATGGTAGCTGATCTTCAGCAAAACAACACACTGCAAGAAAAGGTCGAGGTGGACGATGAACGCATTCGAGAGCTGCAGGAGCGATTGGACGTCATTGGGTCTCTTGTCGTGCGTGGTGGCCGCGAGTCTGGCGATTCCCATGGCGTCGACTCTGCCGATGAAGACGACCACAACGATCCTCTTGGCACACGTAATCCATCCCACGCCAGCAGCAGCAGCGCCGCCTTTACCAGCACCTCTACACCGACCACCTCCCGAACCACCTCCTCTTCCTCCTCTACGTCTTCATATGCCCGACCCGTTTCCCCTACCAAACGAAACCCCTTGTTATTCTTTGACGACTCACCCGCAGTCCTATCAGAGAAACTTTTCCACGCCAACCGAAAAATTGCCTCTCTCACATCCCAACTCGCCTCCCGCCCTGCACTTCCTTCCTCCCCTACGGCCCAGCAAACCCTCATCCTTACCCTCCAGCAACAGGTACGAGAGCTAGAAGCAGTCTGCGAAGCCCAAGCCACCGATGCTCCACCTAAAATTCGCGAAGACGTAGAGCGAGAATTTCAAGCCAAGATGGACACATTGCAGGGGAAATTGGAGGAGAAGGATGATTTCGTGAAGGAGTTGCAGGCGGAAAATGCGAGGTTGAGAAGGGTCAATGAAAAATTGATGGAGTTGGCACATGCACAGACCAGGGATATGGTCGAGAATCTGAGTCCGACGAGGAATAGGTCGCCGTTGAAGGGCTCTGATGTTGGAAATACCGCCAGAAACAGGGGTGTAAATGTTGGTGGAAGCCCGACGAAAGCTAGACCGAGACCGATGAGCTTGTTCAATCCTGTCGGATCTGGATTCCCAGATTTCAGCAAGCTTTCCTTGACGGTAGAGGAAGAGCCGTTAAAGGCAGCGGGTGGTGGTGGCAAGAGGAGGAGCATCAGTAATGACTATACCCTACTGAAGATGGGCACCGAGGAAATCGAGGAGGAGATTTTGCTCAAGTCCAGCAGGATTAGCGCTAGCGAGACTTTTGCTGCTTTGCCACCTGCCTAGATTCAAGCATCGCACTTTGATTTATTTATTCATTTTTGACTGGGGAAGATGGAACCTGGACTGAGCTCAGGGGCTGCTCGTCGAGTATTCTTTCCTGACGTTCGAGCTGATACAGTACGTGTAGAGGAGGAAGAGAGGTAAAGTTCATTTTTCGTTTTTCTTTATTCCATCTTTAAGAAGCTGAATTTCAGCTTTTTATTCATCATATTGAATTGTTGCAATGTGATGTGCCCTTCGAAGAGTGTAGTTCAACAACATGCTGGGATCGATGCCGTAAAGGACGACAAGAGCTTTGCTAGCATTCTTGTGGGCTGTCGAACGAGCGTTTCTGGCTGAAAGCTTGCTGAATTTGAAGTTCTTCTTTATGAGCCTGTTTTTGATTCAATAGGTTATACTTTCATCGTTGAATCTCCGGATGCACAGAGCACTGTCTGTGTTTGGCAATTTGCTTGAAATCATCGTCCATGATAGCAAGAAGCTTTGTGATATGAACAGCAAACAGGCACACTCGATGCACAATTCTGATAAAAAGGAGCAAAAAGAAAATGACTAGTCTGGGATTCGAACCCAGGAATCCTGGTGCGGGTAAATCATCGTCTTAATCAGACGTGGCTTCCTAAAACCAGTGTGTTAGGCCACTTCACCAACCAGCCATCTATCACCTCACGTGGTCGAACTAAACATTTACATATGGAACAATTCCCGTGCCATTGTGGCGGAATCCGCATCCGGCTGTGCAGCTTATTATTTCTTGGGAACGCACGCGCCAACTCAGCACTTGCCGGGTTCTAGACCCCATTCCTTCAACGTGCTCCTGCACCACCATCATCCCCTCAGCTTGAGAAGCTCTAAATCTCCGACCTTTTCGAATTCTAGCCAACACCTTGCAACAACACTATCGCATTCGTTGGGTGGTCCGGCCAACAAAAAGTCCCAACACCGCTAGGTGGATCTCCGATTGATCGCAACGGCCAAGTTCTAGACATCTCTTTCCTTGAACGTGGTCTTCCGGTCCGAAGCATCACCCACTTCCTGTTTTGCAGCTCAGCACGTGAAGAAGTATTACACATCACCGAGGTCTTTGAAATCATCAAAGATCGGTTTCCGGGCGGGGTAAGTGCTTCGATTGACCAATAGGCGTCGAGAGAAAGGCTTCAGGCTGTCGTATTTCATTCAGAACCAAGATCTGCCCCGCCCTTGTCACAATCAGAGGCCGAAGCAGGTCTCTCGCATCCGTCCTAGATCTCGGGCTTCGCAAAGAAGACAAGCACGACTGTCTAGACCCTATTTCCAGCCAGAAGCCGAACAAGACCTTCCGCAAAGGCCTGTCGAGGATTGGCCTCCGATCCGGACACTGTAATCCCATCCGATAGACCTGGATTCCACGTTCGGATCTGCCAACCAAGGATTGACCGCCGATACATCCAGACGTCGGGACGCATCCATTTTTTTTGCAGATTCCTTTTCGTGTTGCTGAGTTCATCAAGGAATCGGTCAAGATCAGATTGGCCGATCGGTTTGAGAGAACTTTTTCCACTTGACAAGCGTACCTGCATCTCCCAACCCGGTGCCCGAGTCACACCATCATTCCTCAAGCCAGGATGTATCACCGCCTCCTTACAGCCTCTTTTGTGGTGGCCTTGCTGATCCTCCTCTACCGCAACCGCCAATTCTTCCTCTCGCTACTACCAGAAGCCCTCACGTCTCGCCTGCCACCGGCTCTCCAACCTACCCCTTCAGGCCTCCCCTACTCCTCAGCCCCCGCCTCAGCCCCTAGCTCCCTCTTCAGCCGCCTCTTTGGAAGCCTTCCCGGCTCGTCCCGCTATAGCAGAGTACCCGGCTTCGACTGGTCCAGCAACCTCCAAAACGGCCTCTCGTCAACCCTTTTTGACATCAACGAGAATATTGATGGTGGAGACAGTCGGTCAGGTCTTGATCCGAGAGGCGCACAAGACGTGCAGACCATCATGCAGACCCAAGGAGTGACTTTTGATCAAGCAAGGCTGATTAGGCACAAACAGATCCTGGTGCAGAACAATATCGATCCAAATACGGGGATGCCGCTCGACAGTAAAGCGGTGACGACTTTGGGTGATAGAGCTGGATCCAGTCGAGCAGCGTGAGGAAATGGCAAGAGTTGCATGTATTTTAGTAATTCCACCATTCGTTTGATTTCCATGGAGTGTACAGTAGGAAGTGGTTTGTTGCTCTGGCGAGGATGTGGGCAGTGTCTGTTCGGGAGACCGATTTTTGTGACCTAGCAAACAGGGTCAGGGATCCGAGGCGAATCTAGCGACCCACAGGCTTGACAATCACACTCTGATTTTAGATGAAAGAGAATCGCAAATAGAGCTGATATGACGCAAAATAAAGAAAGGTACAAATACAAACTAGATGACAAAAGCGAGAGAAAGATGCCAGGAAAAGGGGAAAAAAAAAAAAAAAAAAAAGAAAGATGAACAAGAGCGTTCTTTTGAGTATTGTTTGTGAGCCTAACCTTGGCACGTTACACCTGAGGATGGGGTGAGAGCGTTTGTGAAGGAGCTACGTCGTCTGCACCAACCTTCACCGTCTTTTGAAAAGTCTTGGTCTTCAGCTTCGGATGTGACGGGCTCAGGAACGTCTGCATGGCTTCGAAATGGTTCTTGACTGGAAAAACCTCTAGCTATTTGAGGGCGTTTTTGGAAGGGATGAAGATTGAATACTGGTCTAATACCTGGTGGGTCGTTGGTGGTATTTGTGCATGTGGTGGAAGAGTTGTTCGAGGAGCGACGAGGGAAATTGAGTAGAGCTAGGTCGTCTTGTGACTCGCGTCGACTGTAAAAGACTCGCAGAGGGATAAAGTCTCCGCTGCCATCGGAAGCTAGACTGTCCTGACGAGCACCAACGCCGCCAAGGGAGTAGCCACGCGGGTAGGGCTCGGCAGGGTCTTGAGTGTAAGGATCGATTCCAGCCCAAGAAGAAGTCTCATCATCGATGACAGAATCAGCAAGCGAGGTCTCGCGAGAGTGACCTTGAGGGATGGTGGGCATCATGCGAGCTGTTCCACCGGCAGAGAAGGATCCGTTGTTGCTGGATAAACCTATGCCGGAAGATCGACGTCTACCCATATGCCAGATGGACGCTACTTCTGGGTGTGCACGTCTGCGTAGGGATGTAGCACGACCAAGTGAAGCTGTTCCCAAAGCAGCTGGACGAGAAGGTGTAGCCGTCAAGGTGGACGGTTTGAGCTCAAACTGCGCAGGCTCGCCACGGAAAGAAATACCCGTTGTAGAAGGTCGTCTAGCCTTGACCCGAGGTAGCGTTCCAAATCTTCTTTGACCTGCATTGTCCATCGGCGCAATGTACCTCGACCTCGGTTGAGCGCTGTTGTTGCTCCCCGCAAGCGAATGCTGTCTGCTACCTACCGCACTCCAACTCCCATCGTCTCCAACTGGATACCCAGTGTAACTAGACGCAGCATACTGGCTTGCCGATCCATCATTGCTGGCATCGACAAACACATGCTCGAGCAGAAGACTGTCGCGTTGGTGAACTGGGTTCGAAATGGCTCTTGGCCAAGTCGACTGGTTCGACACGTTTCGCCTGTGACTAGAGCTTTTGCTGCTGCTTGCATTGCTGAGGGTGTGTTGACGAGGACGATGGTTGATACTGCTATGCCAGGATGCGCGTGATGCTGCGTTTTCGAGGGTTTTTTCCCATTCGGACTCCTCCAGCGCCTTTGCGTTGAGACTTTGACTGGATGAGGAGGAGAAGAGGGTGCGGACCGATTCGCGAGAGGATGTGCCTTTGAGTCGGCAACCTTCACGTCGACCGTGACTGCCGGATCTGCGGCCCCCGGGTAAATCAGGATGTCCCAATTCGGGCGAAGTGGCTGGCGAAGATGAAGCCATGCCACCGTTGATCGATGAAAAGGTCGACTTGACCGATGAAGCAGAGAGAGGAGGCGAAAGCGAATCTGTGTTGAGATCGGAAAAGCGCGCTGCTAGTGTCTCTATAGGCTCATCATTGCGTACCTTGCCTCGAATTCGAGGAAAGGTGCCAAACTTCTGACCATGTTCAGGAAGAGGAGATGGCGCACTGCTAGACTCCCTAGAAAAAGGGATGATCTTCATCAAGATCCTAGACCTGCGCTTGAAAGAACCAGTGGAGGAAGCATTGGTCCGGATAGATCCGGCATCGTGATGACTGCTCATGCTCGCGCGGGGAGCTTGGCAAGCCAGCTCTGTACTTGACTGAGACATTTTCTATCCAGCCACAACATGATCATATTCAAGAACAAAGTGTCAGCTAAATGTTGTCAAGAAATATATAGTGGGTGAAATGGGATGCTTACTAACCCGTTACGTCTCAGTTGAGAATTTTGCGTTACAGGTGGTGCCAGAAGTGTGATAGGTTCAGGAAGCGAAAGAGTCGACTTCTCCGACTCCATAGACTGCTTATTACGGACAATGGAAGCGGATGATCCACGAGGGGGGATCCTTGCACTGTCGAATCCAGGTGTGGAAGGCGGCGCGCTCGACTCTTCGTCGGACGAAGCAAGCAACAATTCACGAATATCTTCCTCTGGCTCTGATCCTGCACACGCCTGAACGGTTGTCTCAGAGTCAGGGTAGACGAGCAATGTGCTCCTAGAAAAGTGGGTCTGGGCGTAGTGAAGGTCGTCGAACCTCGTCGACTCTGCTGTGCTGACGCTGGTGGCTGCTGAGCTGGTAAGGGCGCGGCGGAAGGCAGGTCGCTGGGGGAACGATGATGCAACAGGCGAGCCTGGCAAGCTGTTAGCGGCGCTCTGCTTGGGGTGGATACTGTTGGATCGCGAACCAGATGGTCGAAGGAAGCTTTCGGGAACGGTGAGTGATTGCTTGCTGGATGAAGCTTGTGATGTAAAGTAGACGTCGTCTTCGCTGGTGCGAGTGATGCTGGGCAATGGTGCAGAGAGATTGGAGATGTGGGACATGATTGTCAAGAGGAAAGATGATGTCGAGAGTCTGTTGTGCTAAAGCTCAAAGCTGCTGGATGCTGGAAGTTGCTTCTCGATGCAGAGGGTTGGGGGGATTCCGGATTGAGCCATTCCGAAGACCATGCGAAAAGGATGGTGTCCCTTTTATGGATTCCGATAAGGTTACTATGCGAGACACTACACGCAGGCTCGGCTAAGTGGTGTCAGAAGCAGGAACAGGCGCCGCCTGCCTTAGCTTGTCCTAGGTGAACTGTCAGGAACACGGAAGGGCTCCTAGCAGGAGAAGCAGGGAAGCGTATTGCACGTCCTAACAAATCCACGCACGAAGGCAGAAGAAAAATAAGAAAGAAAGAAAAAACAGCGAACGGCGCTCGGCGACTCTGTTCGGTCTATCATTTTGGACAGGCGATGGCCTCCACGAGACGGTATGCAGCTCCGCTATAATCGCAGCAATCGCCTCGCTCTGCCCCAGATGGGTGTGGTTTGTGTGACATTGTGACATCGGAGAGCCTAGTCAGCACGTCTTTGCTGGGTTTAGCTGGGCGGCATTGTGTCGAGACGAGACGCCGTTATGTTTTCTGTCACAGACCGTGTCGGAGGTCTATCACACCGTTACCACCAGGAAACGCAAAGGAAAGTCAGGGGCATCGGTGAGGGTAAGGCCAATACCACTATCCTCCCCCCCAGGTTACG